CACCATTCAGGAAATCTATCAATCACTTCTCTAGACTCCTTTAAATTTTTAGCTGCCTTGACTCTCCTATAGAATATAGGGCAGTCTCTACTTTGGCATAAAATATCCAAGTGCAATGACCCTTGGCATCTCTGGCATTGCACCCACAAATCATTATAGTTCTTTTCAAACGTAATCTGCTCTAGTTTCCTTTCAATGTATATCTACTTCATTTTAGGCATGCAAGAATGACATAAAGCTCCTTAGTCAACTACACTTTTGCAGGAGAGGCAAGATTTCTTAACTATAGTAAATCTGCCAAGACCAGTATTCATTACCTTCGGCACATAGATAGTTCTTGTATGTTCTCCAACAAAGAGTACCTATTCTGGATTCTAGAGTATTGGCTCAAATATCCTGATTAAGGGCTATTTCAACTAATGTTGAAGATAATGATTGTAATCTATTGGCAGATTATTGTCAAGCACATAGAGTGGATCTTCACTTTTTTCGTAGCCTTTAGCATCTTTGGTACCCTTGATCATGACAAAAGCAACTCTATCTCCAACTGATGGTGCTGAGGCTTCATCTCTTTTCCTCATTTTTTCTGCTAACTCTACATGCGCTTGCTTAGCAACATATGCTTCCTTCTCATCATTGTTACTTATCTTCTTAGCTTTCTTTCCAAGTCCCTACAAACATTTAAAGATCAAGTTAAACTTACTCTTGTAATAACTAACAAACTCAAATCAATCCTATTTTGCAATAAATCTGATATCACTCCTTTACAGTAACTATATATTATTAATAAACTCAAAATGCACTTACTTAATGGCATCTTCATAGCTTCTCTCAACTAGAATTTTCTTAAGGACAGTGTTCACTACATCTTTAACCAGGGGACAATTATCTCTTCTAACTGTCTCAATACCTTTTGCATCGATTTTATCATATTTCACTGGGTTAGTCCAAAGCAAACCAGCATATCTCTTCTTGTTCATAAGCAAGTAAGGACAATAAATCTTTTCAAATTCGAGTTTTATTGGATTTTCAAAGAATGAAGTAACATACTCAGCTGCTTCTCTTCCTAATATCATAGTTTCTTCGATGCTCTTAGCTCCAAACTTGATCATAACAGAATCAGTGTCACCATAGATAACCTCACTATCATAGGGATAACCATTCTTGACACAAAACTTCTCCTTGACAAGATTCTTGGTCCTATCTAGCATAGTTCTACCATAAGCAGTAACACTGCAAGAAATGGCAAGACAAGGCAGCTGTCCTACTTATGCCCCTGTAAATCCATAAACACTATTAGCTGCAGTCTTTAAAGCATTTTATCTAGAATCAAGAAGTCTCATTTCAAATGGATCAGTTGTTCTTGATAAATCCAGTTTGACTCTTTTTCTTGCTTAAATTAGTTCCTCAAGTATTATAGGCAAAACTCCTTTCTTAACTGATTTTTTGACAAAGTAATCTCCATTTGGGGTTCTTTCATACATACTCACATCCACATCTTTTAGTTTGTAGTTAGGGATAAGAGTAGAATAGCATAGATTATGAGCCATCATGATTGAGGGATAAAGTGAAGCGAAATCAAGTATGGCTACTGGGTCTTAGTAAAAGCCTCTGATTGGCTCAATAACTACAGCGCCTTCATATTTGCCATCTTGATTATTGCTTTTGTCAGTAGGTATGAGATACCCCAGCTCTTGTGACTTCCTGTAAAGCTAAGAAGCAACTTTGATTTATTAACCTCTTGTAAACAGATATGACAAAGGAACTCCACACACTCTAGAGATCTCACACATGTGATATAGACAATCTAGCTTCCACATTAACCTCAGTGGCAAGTAGGCATCTTTAATACAGTAAATAGCTAATCTTCTCCTAGTGAATTCATTTTAGTTTTGCAGTTCAGAAATAATAGTATGCTAGACATCCTCCTTCTGCTCTCCCAGAAACTTCGCAGACACCGAGTTTAATGAATAGGATCAAAGCTTATCGAATTGAATCCTTCCTTCTATGTTTATGTCTTTAGTCTCTCTTGTTCCCAAAGTTTTAGAGGTGAATGTAGAATCCTTTACCTTAGTGAATAATTCTTTAATTCTGCCAAACTTCGGGTAGTCTTAAATCTTCAAACTTTCAGCTCGACCAATAATATAAGGTATATCAAAATTGACTATGTTGTAGCCTGTAATAATATCAGGATCTATGACTATGACGAAATCTCTCCAGGCCTTCAACAGATCTCTTTCATCCATAAATGAATATACCTTAGTGCCAATAATAGGAGCACAGTTTTTCAATGTAAACACATTTCTTATGAATGGCTCAGTTTCTCCATTGATTTAGCAAATCATAGCAATCTATATAATAGGATCCCTATCTGGCTATGGGAACTTTCCCTTTTCAGCTGAACACTCAATATCAAATGAGAGTATTCTCAATGGTGCAATTTGGGCATACTCACCTTCACATTATTTATAACACTTCATTTCTTGGGAACTCAGCACATCTAGTTCTATTTGGCAAACTGATTTTTATTTGCTTTTATCTCTGACTGAGTAGGCGCCTTTATTAATTTTGATCCAGGACATTCCTACAATCTGATTATCTATCATAAATCTGAGAGCATGAGGTAGATTTGACTCATAGGTAGTAGTCCAAAAAGCAACTCCATTGAACTGCAGGCCTTTTTCAACGAAACTTCTCAGTTGATTGACAAACTTCGGTAGCATGGTATAAACCTTAATAAACCTTTGGTTTTTCTCATTATAATTTTATATTGATTATCTCTCAACCAGTTCTAGATCAACAACTCCCTGTTGATTTGGCAATTTACTCTAATATAATATTGTATAAATTTTATAATTCTTACATTTAGATATCTTTTTAGCTCAGGCAAGTGAGACTAATCGATATGATGATTATAGGTTAGTTGAATGAAGAAATAAGGTCTGAAGTTGAATACATGTACTAGTATTGAGTTGCCTTTATTATTGACGCCATACATTCTAATGATCGTAGTATCTTATTCTTAATCTAACTCTTTCATGTGCTCTATAAATAGTATTTTTTATATTAATTGACAACTTACTCGGGGGTTTTTCAATATAAAAGTCAACATCGAGACACATAAACAAGAAATCTTCTGACTCTGGATTAATGTTGCCTCTTGGTGGTCTATCAAGCTAGGTGTTAATTGTTGTAGAAGCCTCCCTTAAGAATGTCTTTTCATACATGGCTTCATCGTCTTTGGCTTTGTGAAGAGTATTCATGACTGTTTTCTGTTCCTGTTCAGCTTCCAGCTGCCCTTTGGACACAAGCAGCATCAGACGCTTCTTGATTGTTTCTGGGTCTTCGATGTCTTCAGGTCTTAACTAGTTATCTTGATCACCATCATCCTCATAATCATATTGAACTTTTCTAGTCTAAGTGGAGCAAAAATTGGCTATTATAGTTTCACTGGGGTTTTCCATTCTAACTGGGAATTCATTACTCGCATCAGTAATAGGACTCTTTTTCTTGGGAGTAGGCTGCGTACACTTGCTTGAACTTCCATCTCCAATAAGCTTAAATTGACCTTGCTACTTACAAGAAGCAGGTTTCCTGTCCTTTTGAGTATTGGTGTCTGTTGTTGGTGGCGAATTTGATTTATCTGAGAGATTCTTATCATCTGTAGACATATGAACATTTTCTAAGTCTATATCGTTGCTATCGATTTCCTCTTCTATAAAACAATATATAAATAAATCTATTTTATACAGGGATCTGCCATTGTTTAGCTTGAGTTATTAGCTGTAAGATCTGGTGCCGTATTAGTTGAAGGACTAGAAGATTATACTACTTTCTTTAATTTTCCCATCGATTATTTGGATGAAGGTTGTAGTAGATTTGAGCTAACTCGAATTAAACATTTAATAATTAAAACCAAACTTTTAAATATCTAGACCAAATGATTAACTAGAATAATAATTTTATGGGGTTTTGGGGTTTTGGGG